AAAACATCCTGGTTTGGTCATCTCAGCTTTCGGTGGCAGCGCCGTGCTCCCGTTTCTGGTCCCTGCGGAGGACTCAGCCCGCTCACTGCGGTGTGACGGCGATGGGCTGGCGCCGGGTTTGATCATCGCTGACTGCTCAGGACTGCCCCGCGGAAAAGAGAGGAGTTGAAAATCCTGAAGAGGAAAGTGGGAGGAATGAATGGGGAATAGTGTGTGTTCCTGTGCCGGGCTGGATCGGTTGCATTAAATCAGAGCCTTCCTGAGTACAATTAATAGTCATTTTATTTAGGTCACCCTGGTTTTGTTGCTTTAAATGTATGCCTCCATTAAAGTGGAAGAAAATCAAATACATTTATCTCTGTGGAGCCTTTTGTGAACTGGTTGGGTATATTTTAAATAACCCTGGGAACCGTTAGGATTATTAAAGTCTTTGGCTCCTCCAGGTTTTTTTCTTTCCTCCTATTCTCCCCTATTCCTCCTTCCAGGCGGTGATTAAAGAAGTGCTATAGCCCTTCCTTTTCTCAGAGCCCCAAGTGGGTTGAAAAAAAGTATTAAATAAACTAAAGCCCATTAGTTAGGCTTTATGTGAGAAACTGGGTCTAAATTGGGTGTATGTATGGGGTATGCTGGGACAGAGGAGAGTTCTGTTGGGCTTAAGTGTAACTGGTATTATCTGGCAGGTCTCTGGTTTTTCATTTACCTTAAGTGCTAAGACTGTGTTCATTTTGTAATACACTCTCATTTGATGCTGATAATTAGTTCAAATTAATCAGCTCCTTTAGGCCCCCATATTGAACCATACTACGGCTGAAAAGAGAGATCAATTTTTGGATTGCCGGGAGCTTTCTGAGCGCGCTGGGTGGGACGTGGCGCTCTGCTTGGTGGCACCGCGTCTCACGCCTGCACCGGGGACACTCAGCCCTCTGCGGGTGCGCAGTTCTCGGCCGTGCTCAGACAACATGGCCCAGAGACCATTTTCGGAGCTGGTGATGGGGTTCCGCCGGGGATGGGCGCTCAGTGCTGGGGTAGCCCAGCTGAGCCTGGCAGGTGGTGGTTCCGTCTTCCAGTCCCGTGTCCACCCCTGGAGAAGACTTCCTTCTCTTGTGTAAGCGAGGGGCTGGTTGCGTGGTTTGAGTTGAGACCTGGGAAACTTGCTGTTGGAGCACCTTTCGAGCACTGGGCCCGCACGGGGGCCTCCGGTTGGAGGAGGGGGTTAACTTCTGGACAGTCGCAGCTCCTGAATGTACTTGAGTTTCATCTCTGGGTTGGGTTTTTTTTTTCCCTTTCCCTGAAACAGGGATCAATTTGCTTACTACGGGGTTTACTGCCGGTTACCTTGACTGTGTCCCTTATTTCTCCTTGATGAAAACTTGAACAAGCCGCTTGTGTTTGATTCACAGAGACCCGTGAGAAACGGGCTGTGTGTGTGAGGCAGTGTGGTTTTCTCATTCTATTCAGCCCTTTGTATATTCAAATTCTTCTAGTTTCAGTTCTTGCTGTTCTGCCAGATTTCCATACCATTGATGGGTTTTCTGAATTAATAAGTTTCTTTCTCCCCCTCCCTCCCGTACCCTCGCCACCTTTTTGCAACTGGTGAAAAGTTTTTCTAAGCGCGCTGCCCTCTCCATATTGATTTTCTTCTCTTGCTTGTCTAACCAGCTCTTAGATGTTTTATTTTGCAAAGCGTTAATAGAATTTTCCTTTTGCCATTGCACTTTATCTATTCAGGAGGTTTCAAGAAGTCTCATTGTGTCACCGGACTATGGAGGAAAGAGGCTATTCTTCTGTGACAATGGCTGCCCTAAAAAATAACGCAGGGTGGGGTAAACTCAGAAAGGGCAGAGAGGAGATAAAATGGTCTGACCTTAGGAAACAGAAAAGATAACCAATTAGACATTGTTGAAAGGGCACCAGCTGGCTTAAAGAACACCCCACTGATTATTTTTTCTTAAAGGCGTGCTTGGTCCGTGTCTGAAAGTGGGCTGCAGAGCCGCTTCCCCCCGTGCGGGTTTCCAGACTTGGACTGGCGGGGCTGACCCTTCGCAGGGAGCTGTGCGCCCGGTTCTCATCCCAGAAGTAGGTACCACTGCTTGGAGGGATGCGGCGCCCGCCCCCAGGGCATCCGCGCTCCTCGGTCCCGGCCAGCACGGTGGAAATCTCCTGCATTAGCGCAGGCAGGCTGCGTTCCTTACTGCTAATAAGGATTTATTTGCATAAAAAAGATCTCTGCCAAGATCATCATTCCAGCGAAGCGGGGCCTTAGTACACACGGCACAAAGCGTTGTTTGCCAGAGGACCTGTACAGGGTGAGACAACGTGTCACGTTGTACAGTTGGGAGATGCGACCAAAACCACAGATCCCCAGTATGACCAGGAACCGGACCCAGAGCCCCCTCACCCCGTCCCGTGCCAGGACCTGTCCCTTCTCTCTCACGGCAGCGCTGGAGGAGCAGGATGGGGCTGCGCAGGAGGTCCAGCCCCGCGGTGGTGCTGCTCCCGGCCACAGCTGAGCCCGAGAGAGCGCTCTGCACCCTGCAAGGCTGCGGCCCACGGCTGAGATGTGGCCGTGCTAAAGCCAGGTTTGGGTCGTGCTGTGCCTCATCTCTTCTCCCTCTAACAGCAATGCAAACAGCCTTTTGAAAGTCCCCGGTTGTTCACGTCCTTGCAGGAGGAGGTGTTATTTTGAAATGTGTGGATCCAGCCAGGAGAGCCTGGGCACAGCGCAGGACCTCCCTGGGTTGGTGGGTCCGTGTGCCCGACACCTCCCCGGCCTCTGGTATGGCATTTGAGGCAAAAAGATGACACTGGGAGAGTTGCGTGTTAAAACTTTTGCAACAGGGATTGGCGTGGGGACAAAAGGGTGGTCAGCGTGCTCACGTGGACCAAGACAGAGGAAGCCGCGATGCTCTAGAAAATAGCATTAGGTGTGACATGTAATTTTGGTTCGGGTGAGGCCGAGACCTGTGAGAATGAAAAATAAAGATTGCTGTGCAAACGTACCCTGGAGCAGAGATAAGTGGTGGTGGTAGGGTGAAGGGCAGCTCTGTCCTTATCTGCCTCATGGTATTGCTCATAGTTGCGAGTTTTCTTCCTTGGAGTGAAGAAAGACAGCAGGACAAATGGCTCTCTGCTTACTGTGGTTTGGATTTTTCAGTGCATCAGCATCTTTACGTCTCGTTCAAGATGGGTATCAAGGAGGCGTGCTGTTCGCCGCCGTCTCAGGCCGTTGCTAACACATTTTGCAAACCACTTTGACTGAAAAAGTTAAGAGCAAGTTAACCAGAGACAGGTTTTCAGGCGAGTTTAGGCATCGTGTAAGGTTTTGCTGCACTGTTTTTTTACTATCTCCTGGAAAGTATTTCAGTCCTGTAGTGGAGAGAGGTTCAAGCTGTGTTTTTACCACCTTCCCAAAACATGTCCCTGCTCAGCCAAGACTGAGATTGTAACTCTGCACAGCAGTAGGCTGGATTTCTGTTCTCCTGCATAAGAGGACTACAGTCAAACTATACCCCCTGAGCTGTGAATTTTAGCCAGGCAGGAGCTTTCAAATCCTGCTGTAATTCCAGGGTGACGTTAAGGCAGCAGGAGCTGCCACCGCTCCCCAGAGTGGTGCCACCTCCCATAAGGTGCTGCTGCTCTGCCCTCCGCAGCAGCCCGTCCCTTGGGTCGGCACCAGCGTTGGTGTGGCCCTGCTGGGACACTGAGCTGGCTTAAAACTAACCTGGAAGAGAAAGTGTGGCTCATTTTAACCCCGGAGCGGTTCCCTGGCTTGATCTGCTGCGCAGACGTGTTGGCAGAAACGACCTGGTCAGCACACGGCGGGCACGGGCGCTTGGGGTGAGAGGCAGACCCTTCCGCAGCACTGTGTCAGGTGAAGAGAGCACGTCACTAACTGCGTTGTAAATCACCTACCTAAAATAATGATTCTTAGAAAGCTTGAATATAAGAACATGGAAATATAAAAATTACTGGGGGGGAAAAAACTAAAAAAACCCCCAAACAAAGAGAAAACCCCAGACCCACCCCCACAGACAAGCAGTGGAGTCCTTTAAAGAATAGAACCTTTTCTTTAAAGATCTTCTCCCTTCCTGCAATGTCTTCTGCGATTTAGGGGTGATACAGGCTTTCCTCAGCCCCTAGTTTACAACGGGGAATAGCAAGTCTGTGATTTGTTTTCAGAAAGATTGCCCCGGACATTCCCGGCAGCGTGCGGCACCGACCTCCCCAGCTCCTGCAGCCTGGGAGCAACGCTTTAAAATGGGATAATGCTGGAAAATAAACCCCAGCACAACATCCTTCTAAAATAAGTGTAAAATTTTAGGTGTGGCTGCACAGATTAAATGGAGGTGGAATAAATCATGCAAATAGTAATGAAAGTTGAAAGCAATTTGGTTGCACTTCAATACGTTTCATCAGTCATCTCTCTTCTGAAGTGGAAATGCCAAGCCTGATGCGAATTAAACTTTCTCCCTCCTCCCTTTCCCCTCTTTCCTCTAGCTTTTCAAAAGGCCTTTTGAAAACCTCTGAATACCTTTCTTGGCTGACCAGATTTTACCCTGCTCGAACTTCTTGAAACCTCCTAATTCTCAGCCAAGACAGTGACTTAATTTGGAGAAGTCGTGGGCTTGATTTGCATCCACAGTTCCTCTCTTGGCCCTTCCTTATCTCCCCACAAAAGGGAGAAAGGCCGAGATGAGGCACAGCCAGGGACCGACGAGAGGGGGAAGAGCTCCTTAGATGCTTTGCTTTTTAGGGGAACAAAACTTTTAATGTTCCCTTTTCCGCTTCAGGATCAAATGTCAGCTAGGACGTGGCTTGAAAGCGGCAGATTCCCCAAAGGAAGAGCTGACTGAGCAAAAGCGAGGAGCTCTGGTGCATCGTTTGTGCCCGAGCTGAGCCCGCTCCTGCCTTCGTCCCCCCCTCCCGGTGTGTCTGTTGTGTCTTCGCGAGCCGTGCAGGCGCTGTGTTAAAGCACACCTCTCTCCTCTTCTGTCTTGCAGGTAGAGGACGCCATGCTTATGTTTGACAAGACGACCAACAGGCATAGAGGTAAGAGAAAACGGGAGCTCAGACATCACATTTTGTCGCAGCTTCTGCATGGTGAGCACAGCCAAAAATCAGCGTCAACACCACGACCCAGGGGCTAAATCCAGTGGTGGTAAATCGGCAGAGCCGTTTGTGTGTGAGGCGGCTCCCTCTGTCCTGCAGGCGTTGCAGAGGAAAGGCTCTTCGGCACGTAATGCCACGTGTCACCTGGATTTACTGATGAGAGAGGACTTTTCTGGTCAGTCTGATGACTTACCTTTGGGAGGACCGTGGTGAGGTTTCGTGGCGTCCCTGGCGATAGGGAAGCCCCGGGAGCTGAGGCTGCGGGGAAGCCGAGGGTTGGTACATCAGGGTAGGCTGGGTGTGAGGCCAGTTAAGCCAAGACACCAGAAACGGAGGTGCTAAACCCCTCCGCTGGGGTTTCAGGCATGCTGGACTTTGGAAGCTGAGGACCGCCTGTCCTCCAGTGATGGTAGCCCAGAATAAGCAGCGTCTCCACGAGAGGAATTTCCCTTCACATATTTTACAAGAGAGATGAGATTTCATCACTGCTCGTACAGTTCTGTGAAAATGAGCTGGGGATTATTTTCAGTGTTATGGCCATTCCTTTCAGTGGAAATAAATGATGCTCCTCTGTCTCTTGGCGAGTGGGTCACGTTATTGCCGCAGCAGAGAGGCCGAGCTCCAGGCAGAGAGCAGCCCGGCAGCCGCTGCCTCCGGCACAGCAAGTCAACGTAGCTGGGCTCCACAGTACCACCAGAACCTGCACTGGGGACAGGCTCTGAGACCCTCTTCCCTTTTCTCCGAACGAGACTGGTTTTACGCCATCAGTCTCCCTGCTTTACCAGCGCATGTTTGGAGGCGGTGCAGGAGACCAGCGCGGCTTGTGGCTTCTGCCCCCGTGCGACAGCGTAGACATGTGGCCCCGAGGTTTGTCGTTTGCCCTTCGCACTCTGGCCTCTTTGTGGGAACTCTCTTGATTGATACGGTTATTGTGTCAGCTGCCCGGAGCGGGCTCTGCAGCCCCTTTGTTTCGGGAGGCTGCCGGAAGGTGTAACGGAGCCTGCGCCCGGCCCGGCGGCAATGGGAGCCCCGGGAAGGGGAGAGGGCAGCAGCCGGAGTGTCCGACCACTGCCGCCTCCCCTCCTCTTCATCTCCGAGGCAGAGTCGGAAGGTCTGACCTCCCAGACCTGTCGGAACTAGTCGCTGCTCTGATACTTGCCTTAACAAGCAACTCAGTGCGCGCGGATGGCTGTGTGAGTCACGCAAACCTCCGGGATAACGTTCCCTCCCTCCAGCAGTTCCCTCTGGCACCCATCCTTCTCTGAAGTCAGGGATCATAGTAGCCTGGAAAATTCAGCAGCGGTGAGCAAAAGACTTGCTTGGAAAGATAAGCTCCTCAGAGCCAGGGAAAGCATGTGAGCAGTCAGTGCCCATCAGTTTTGTGACAGGAACCGTGTGTTCAAAACTCTTAGACAGTTTGGAAAGTTCAACCCCTGACAACTTCCTTTTATATCCAGGGAATTTTCCACCCGTCTCTTTGCAACCGCCCTTAAATGGGCCGTAAATGCCCTTCTCCATTCAGGACCTGGGCACCTTGTTTCTCGCATTTAAGAGCTGTGGTATGCGGTGCTTTTGTGCTGGGCACAAGGGCCGCGGGGCCCCGCGCCGAGGTGGGCTGCTGGCAGCTGGGCCCCAGGAGTGCCGGGGGCTCTGGTCCCAGCGAGGCACGTACCCACCAGATTCGGCCCCTGGGAATGGGTTTCGGCAAGTCTGCTGCCTGCCTCTGGTTGTATTCCGTGTCTCCTCCTCTTAAACTGTTTCTTAACCTGGCGGGGGCATCGGGCAGGCTGGGGAGCCCTGCGGTCAGGTGCGAACCTGAGCAATGCGCCCCAGAGGATGGATTCCTCTCCCAAAAGCATCTTTCCCTGTCCCATCTGGAGAAACGGTCTGTAAGTGCTGAAGCTGAGGGCTGCACATGGAGGGGGCACCTTAGCTGCCATGAAACCTTTTGTTTATTTCACAAAGGGCTTTTTCCCCACAATGTGTGTTGAAGATGAGAAGCAACAGGTCTTCCTTTTTTCCCCCTGAGATTCTGTGAATTTATTTCCTTGGTTAATTTTCCTTATAGCCTGTTTTTTTCTACATGCAAGCCGCAACATTTCTCTTTGCCTTAGCATCCTCAAGTGAGCTCCTAGATGAGATCTAAGGGGGACGGGACTAAGAGCCCAAAAGGACCCAAAGCACACTCTATGTGTCGTTGGGCGGAGGTGATGTTACCCACACACCTCCCGCATGCTGCACCGGCGTCAGGCTCCGCACCCGGGTCTGTCCCGCTTGCTCGTGCCGTGCGGGCGCAGGCTGGGCTGGAGCCCCCCTCCCCGCTCCTGGCAAACACAGGATTTCTCCGGCACCCGGGAGGGTCAGCTCTGTTTGTGCGGCTGTTTCCCAGGGAACAGACTTACCCTTTTGCTGGGTGAAGGACAGCGCTGCTTATTTGCCGAGATTAGCCAAAATTCCTGCGAGCGCGTGAAGCCCGGCCGGTGCCGAGGGGCTGTGCTGCCCGAGGGGCATGGAAATCTGAGCTCCGGGTCTTTACCTCTGCCAAGTACAGGTGGAAGGAGAAAACAAGTGTAAAAAAACGGGGTGGAGAGTCGTCTTCATCTTCATGCTTCAACTTACCCAGTCTTTTCAGACATTTTTTGCCTCTGCACAGGTAGCTACCACTAATCAGGCTAATGAACTGGCTAGCGGGCTGTTGCGATGAAGCGAGTTCTGCTGCATCGATTGTTTGTAAAATCACTTCAGATTTTACAAATTGTGACATTCTGATTGTGTTGGAAACATGTTTAAAATGCAGTAGCGTGCAGCAACAGTGTTAATGGCAATTCTTAAAACCACTTGCGGGTTGCAATCTGTATCTTCAAATTAGCCAAGGGAAGGAGAAATGGCAGATAAAATATCCGTTGTGGTTTACTGTAGTTAGTCTATGCCTAGAATAATCAACGTAGGCAAGGGAAAGGGAAAGTATTAAAATTCACTCCCTACTGCTAGAAGGCGAGATAAATTTCCTTGCAAGCAAATTGAGAATATTTGTTGACATAATTCTGGCACGTGTGTGTTACTCGTGGGTGCGTATTCTGGTAGTGTGTAACGCCTGCACACACGGCGCTGCACCACCTCCGGTTAGTGGAAACGCAGAGATTTAACCAGACGTAGTAAGAGGGATTTTCAAAACTGCTCATCATTGAGCAGTTTTATTAATACCTTGGGAAGGCTTGAAAACCCCACCCAAAATAAAGCTTAATGCCTTGCCAATAGAGCACATAACTTTTATAACACTAAAAATGTCATCAGGCCAACCACTTCGTTGCCTCTGGTGGTGTCTTTTTCTTTTTTGATGTCCAACTATTCCTGGATGTTCTCTCGGGAAGATAAGACTCAGAGCTGTTGCATTTTGTGCCTATCTGTGTAGCCGTGTTAATGGCAGGCTACAGCATCTGTGCGTATTTGATTGAAGGAGTGGTTAATTTGGGGAGTATTATAGGTAAAATAGTCCCTAGCTTCACGGGGATGCCGGGTCTTCTTGCATGGGTTCTCCTTCTCTTGGCCACTTAGTTGTGACAGTGGGCACGTGATGAACTGGCACTTAGAAGGCAAATATTTCTGGATCCGCTTAGTTAAGATGCCATTTCTTTTTGGAAAGAAAATGTTGGTAATCCTCTATTTCTGCACCTTGTGCTGTACTTTTGCTCTTCTGTCCAGGGAGCAAATCCACAGACAAAAGTTCTCCAAACACTCTGGAAGACCACTTCCATCGCTTTCCTCACTGCCTAAAATTTCATAGAGCTGAAAATTACTGCGTCAGTCTTGAAAGGATTTCATCATTGGAAAGAAAGAAAGAAGAAAAAAAAGAGTAGTGTTATTTTGTTACCCTTGCAAAGCGCAGATAAAATCTGGAGTTCAGCATTAGTTATTGATCTTTGGGGTTGGCGGGAGCTTGGCAAGATGATGATGTCCTTCTAACTTCATTATGGAAGGGAGCTCCAGAAGGCATACCAATTCGCTGCCGAGCAGGGCGGGCAGGCGGAGCGGGACGGGGCGGCTGCCGTGTCCTTGTGCTCTGCCCGTGCTGGGCCGTCCCCAGTCTGCGGCAGTGGGACGCTGGTTTGCTGAATTCAGCAAAGTTGAGAAATAATGCCGTACGCCGCGGGCTGCTCGGGAGGAGGGAGGGAGGGAGGGAGGGAGGGTTCGATGGACGGTGGCTGAACGGAGGGGTGCGGAGCGACAGCCCTTCCCGGGCTGGGTACCTTTTGTGGAAGGGAAAATGCAGCGGAGTGGAGTGTCTCCTGATAAATTTGGCAACTCCCCTTGCTTTCTGCACGGGGGTAGAGATGAGTCAAGAGAAGGTGGTATATTGGTTATTTATCGCGATGGGATGCTCTTGATCACAGCTTTTGATGCTCTCCGCCAGCGCACACGTGTCTCGCGCTTGCCTGCCACCATGGGCTGCTCCAGAAGCCGTCCACGGCGTGCACCACGCTGGTCCCACGTCTCTGACCTGCAAAAAGACAAATAGAGATTTGGAGTGATTGAATGCCCCGAGCTGTAATTGCCGGTATTGAATGTAATGCTATACGTTTCTCAAAGCCATACAGCCCCCCGATCTTCATATCAATTAACGCTCTCACACGGTTAGCAATGGCAGGGGAGAGAGGAGGGAAGTGACAGCATGTGATTTGGACTTCTTTAATCTTAAAACTAAAGAAAATTAACGAAAGGCAGGCTGTCCGTGTGATGCAAAGGATACCCCGTGTGTTGGGGGTTAGAACATCTCCAAAAGACAGGCATCAATGGTGGCAGAGCTTTAAAATGAGTTGGATTTTCGCACTTGTTACAAACCTCCCCGTCGTCCCCCGGGCCTGCGGGGAGGGTGCGGGTGCCGTGTCTCCCCGTGGACACACAGGAGCTCCGCAGCCCTGCGGGGACCGGTGTGCCCGCGG